TATTTATTATGTTTGTAAGATTATTTTTTCGGATACTTTTCGAAACGTCGAATCAATTCATTTAACTTTAGCAGAAAATTCTTCAACGATCTGCAGTCTCATCAATTTTTTTCTTAACTCGAAGTAGATATACGTTGATTGGTGTTGTTCCCCACCGAAATAAATAACTTACGTTTTGTTTAACATACCAATGATTTAATTCATTTCGATTGCACATTTAAAATCACATTTATTTATCTATTTATTTACAGTTACAATAAGTACACATTATGCATATTTAATAACAGAATTATTTTTCACAATAAGGGTGCTTTTTACCCTTAATATATTACCTTTATATATTATATTTTAAAAATATTTTTTAAATTTTTTTCTTTAACACAATACACGAGTGAACACAATTCATTGTTGTTTCAGAAGAATTTTGTATTTTTCGGATACACTGCCGAAAGAAAATGATTTATTTGATCACTTGGGTTGACCAATTCGGTTAATTTCCGGCTTCAAGGAAAGGGACAGGGGGGATCACGTATAAGGGTGGTTTTCATGGATCGGAATTGCTTGCTTGCTTGCTTGTTTTGTGGCTGGTACTCGTTTCTTATCGAATCAGCCGCGTAGAACGATCTACTGCGACCAATCTCTTTTACGCGTGTCCCTTCACGGCTGGTGACTTTGGCGTGTGCGAGAGTGCACGCGCGCGCGCGCGCGTGCTAATCCTTTTCACTTATTTTATCTTATTTTCTTCCCCTTTTTTCTCTTTTTCTCACATTTTTTATTTATATTACATCCTTGTATTAGACACGGTAGAAACGCATAGGTTTTTTCCTCTTGACTATGATTTATGATAAGAAATAAATGAAAATAATGTTTCATTTTAGGTTTAATGAAAAACATAATATACCACAACAATAATAATAATTAGTCAGAGATTTGTTGACGTTTAATAATTTTTTCATTCGTAACCCCATTTTCGATTATACGTACTAGAATAAAATTGTGTGTGTGGGTGTGTGTGTGGGTGGAGAAGCATATTTAATTACAGTAATATTTTTCACGTATACATAAGTAACAAGTATATTTAATTACAGTAATATTTTTCACAATAAGGGTGCTTTTTACATTTAATATATTCTAATAATAATTTATATATATTTTAAATATTATATATATAATATTTTTCAATATTAAATAGGGGTGGAAGGTGGAGGGATATAGTAATCATGTAAAAAAGATGGTTTCATTGTTTTAATCAAGTGTGTTTCGTTGACACGAGCACAGATCGGGGCCGCTAAGTCAGCGGCCTTCGTTTTGTGCGTATGTGCATGAGTATTGGAAAGAGGGTTAGTGCGTGAAAGAGAGAAAGAAAGAAAGAAAGAAAGAAAGAAAAAGAGGGAGGAGACGTAAGACGAATGGTGCACACGAGAAGGAGGTGTCAGGTGTCACGGCTGTCCGGTTTCGTTTGCAAACAACACACCGGTGCTAGCGGCAAAAACATTTTCTCTTCGACAGTTCGAACCTTCTTCTTCTATAGATCTTTTTAATGTATTATATATGATATTTTTGTATGATATATATATTTAGATAATAGTAAAGAACAAAATTCATTAGGATGTATATTTTATTTATATTATATTCAAAAGAAAAGTGCAATTTTTGTTTATTGTACGATTAATTCGGAATATAAATTTGGTTTCCTTTTTATTTCAATTAAACGTCATCGTTAAAAATTCATTTATTTTTATTCTACGTGTTAAAAACGATTTATAACAGTTATAACTGTTTAGCGATTATAAATATTAACGATCGTGGAAAACGCGTTAGCAATTTCGATAAAAACCGTGTACTTAGTTTTATATGCAATTTTTACGTCCTAAATATCGTGCGGTTTGGAAACACTCTTTTATTTATTTATTTATTTATACGTATTCAATATATATATTTTATCAAATAGAAATAAAATAATAATCAGATAATAATATATTAAAAATGAAAATATATTTTTCCAATAAAACTTCATATCACGTAAACGTTATGCACGCGCATTTACAAAATTCGGACGAATGTTTCAGGTGGGTTGGGAGGAGAAGAGAGGAGAGGATGCAATCCAATCCTAAAAGTATTATAACGCGAATATATATATCATAATATATTTCGATATTTCAGTGACATTAAAAAGAAACCATTTCATTCTTAAAAGAAGAAAAGAACCGAAAAAAAATTCGGAATAAAATTAGCTATCAGTGATTGGTCAAAAAACTGAATACTTTTTATGTACAAAAATTTGATTTAATCCAAAATTTTCAATGCAGTAAATAATAGTTGCATTAAGTTGCATCGTAAAATCATCGATTCGTGTATCAACGAACACTATAGTTAAATGATTAATAATAATCAATGCTTTGGTGTGTCCGTCGCATCGGGTGTTTGGCGAGCACAGTTCGCCGTCGTAAACGTTAAAACGTAAAACGACGAAATGCGAGCAGCAGCTGCATTCGTGTGATGATGCACTCGTTCACTCGTGGACTCGCGCGCGCAAATGCACATTTGCTGCGACCACATAACTTCCCATAGCCGCCGCCCTTTTCGCGCATAATGATACATCGCACCGGACACGAAAGTTATACGCTTTAATTCGAGACTCAAGTATGGTGAGCGTATATCGATCGCCAATTTGCTATGCAGATCTGAGCCCTTTCGAAGCCCTGTTCTTTCTCGTCGATTGCATTCCCTGCGATTGCAGTCTGTGTATATGTGTGTGTGTCTCTTATTTTCTTTCTTTTTTTTTTCCAACCTTTCCTTACATATGTATGTATATATATATATATCTTCTTCACTAGTATATAAAAGTATAAACAGAGATAAAAGAAAATAAAAATATCACAAAGAAGTATAGTT